GAGCTGACCACACCCCTGCTGCAAATAGAAGCGTGTGCTCAGTAGTGCAGAATCCTAAGCCTTGCTCTATCTGCTGCGATTCAATCACTACAGCGCCGTATGAGCAGCCCATCATTGAAACGTTCCCTTAAAATTATGGAGCGCGGCCGCGGCGGAGGCGAAGCCGAGCTGGCCTGGTTAAAGAGAAGGAGGAGAGCTAGGCGACAGCCGAGCTATCCGACTGGTTGGAATTAAACCAAGTGTTAGTGGTCAGCAGAGAAATCCTGTCCATAATGAGTACCATAGGCTGGACCATGCGCGCAGCAGTGCGCGTCAGTCAAACTGGTCTTATCGGAAGCGTTTCTGCCGCACAACTCACCGTTCTTGGACGCAAGGCGGACACATAAGCTTCTGCACTTTGCTTACTGGTCCCTCACCTGTTGATGCTTTGCAAGCTTATGCCGTTAATTGAGACAAGTTCTCTTGATCGTCTTAAAGATACGATTTCTTTGCTTTGCTCAAAAACCTAACGTATAAGATCACTCCGGACTCGTGGTATTGTGCCCCCTTTACTCTTACTCAGTACTCTAATCCGTTTCTAATGTAAAAACAAAATAAGGGTTTCGGAAAAGTTCACTGTATTGTAGTCCTGTTCATTGTTTTTCTGCTTTCAGCTTTACGTCAGGGGCTACGAAAGTGCACAGACGGTATTTTCACGCTGGGACTATGACAAATCCTTACTATCTGAAACTGAGGAAGAAAGGTGAATGAGACAAGCTGGACCTACTTTACCTCCATGCAATTTAGCATGTCATATAATGGAAGTAATGCCACTTTTTTTAGATTCAGATATCTCTTCCAAAAAATGATTGTCCTCGATTATATCATACGGAACACAGATAGGCACATGGACAACCTATTGATCAGGTCTACAGTTATTATTTTTAGAAGGAACAGCTCGACAGTCGTATATGCTGTGCAGCTTGACGGAGGCCAGGTGGTGGAGCGGCAAGTGGCACGCTTACCACAAGCACGGTCCGGGGGTCAAATATCTGATCGACTCCCGCGCAGGCCAACGGGATCTTCCACCCTTCGAGTACGGTAAATCGGTACCAGATTCGTCTAGGAGGATAGCAACACTGACTTGCACATTGGGTGACCCCGCGAATGACTGTATTGGCCACATCGCATTCACTAAGCCGCTACGATTTTAGTGGAAGTAGAATGCGTACAAAATCAAAATTAATCAGTAATAATCAATCCATAAGAATTGGTGAGGTGCGGCGGAGGCTCCATCTTTCATGAAACAGTTCAGCTTTCGCTAATTCAATTAGTTCAAATGGCCTTCCAACTAGTGTCGGAAAACAGGGTCCACTGCTATATGATGGTAGCAGCGACGTTGAAAAACGTTGACCTTATAAAGGCGTGAGCCGCGACGGAACTCATGGCCAGATTTTTCTTTTAAAGACAGCTCCGCGATAAAAGTCTCATGGATAGCTGCTTTCCAATTATGAAACAGTAGCTGATAAGTAATCTCCCAAAGAAGAAAACAGGCAAGAAGCGTCCTCCAGAACAACATAAACAAAATCGCTCCCTCACAGTCACACCTCCCTGCGGTCTCTGTGCAACCCTAGCTCACAAATCTCTCTATCACATCTCGCAGTAGTTGATATCATCCAGTGCAAAAAAAAGAATACAAAAAGAAAACAACAAAAACGCAGAGGAAAAACTCTTGGAAAGGAAAAGGAATTTCTATCAACGCGCGCGGTTTGAATTTGGTGGGTATTTACGGTAGCACGCAGTTTTGTGCGCTCGAGTGTTTTTGCATCACGAAAATTGCGTCACTCGTGCTTTTTACGCGTTTCACCTCGCGAAATGAGTTGAATTGAATGTATATACCTAAACTGTAATAAAGGGGAGCAGAATTATCCATGGGCATTAGCAGTGCCCGGGCAGCCCGACTGAGACAAACCTGGTAGCTTTCCGGGTCGGGGACGGACATCTAGCAAGTAGGCGATTCCAAACTGAGTAGGCCCGTTAGACTAGAACTTACAGCCGCCTGCCAGCCTTCGCTTCTCGCTCGCTGTGCAGACGCAAAAATAGTGTGGGACAGTCTCTAGCCTTGGGCGGCGTAGCTTACTACATACTTGCACAAGGAAGGAGCGACCATGTTACTTACTCGAGCGCGGGGGCCTGTCTTCAAAGGCAATTATGGACCAAGTAGGCGAACCGCCAGCAGCTGTGCCTACACTTAAAAAGAGTGGGGACTCTGAGGTATTACAGGTGAACGGACTACGCCTAAGGCAACATCCAAACAAACAGTGGAGAACGACATTTCGTAGCCACTGTCTCATGGGCATTCCGCTGCCGCGAATAATGAGATGGAAAAGCATGAGTCCTTCTTTCGTCTTCAGGTGATATCGTAGTATCAACCTGCGATCAAACCCAAAAAAATCTATCTTTTGAGTCAGGATGTTGTCAAGCAATCACCTCAGTGTGGTCAACCCTATGTACTTCAATGTACTCTGGAGTTTTTCAGGCATGTCCCTGGAAAAGTGATCGAATTGGCAGCCATTGACAATGGCCTCGCATTTCCTGTGAAGCACCCAGAATGCGTGAGCCGATTCAGGACATTTCCTTTTAGGTGGACAGAATATCGATGGGCACAACAGGTGAGCCATTTTACGATAATGTTCTGCTACACAGCCAAAAATAGGAACTCGCACAACCCTAGCAACTCAGGTGAAACTATATCGACTGTGTGAAATAAGGGTTCTGATTCTATAAATCAGTATACCACTCAACTGGCATTGCTTCGATCCGCGCAGGCGGCAAGTTGTGCATTGAATTGTAAATAGGCAGCCGCCATAAGTTTGAAATGGCTCCATGAATAAAAAAACTAAACGACGGCACGCACGGGGGTATCATTGGAGCGGTAGCGCGGCGAGGTAAGGAGGAGGGAGAGGTGCGAGGGCCACCGCCTTGCCGAACCCCTTGGAGGAGGTACTCGCTAATTGTCGTCACCAAAAGTAAAACAACGAGCATATGGAGGAAAAGCGAGAATGACCTCTGTTTCCCCAGGAATCTTGAAAAATTCTTGAAAAAGTGTATTCAAAAGATTCAGAACGATGCCACGTACGAGAAGGGATAGGAAAGAGGATCGACTCAAAGGAGGAAAGTTTGAGGAGAGAAGGGGGGTCGTTTTGCAAAATCCCTATCAAGCAACACAGTGGCACACAGCTACGTGGGGTTAAAGATTAAAAATTGGTACGATCACACCGTTCCGTTTAATTATGCCTCGGCCCCTAGGTGGCGAGCCACCATTAACGACGATCCGAGAACTGACCTCATAAGCAGGGGGAAATCATGGCCTACGAAGTGCGAAGTGACCTCATTCAATGAGAGATCATTGAGTTACCGAAATCGGAATAAATCGAGTGAAAACTAAACTATCAGAAAATTAAAAAAAAAACGTGAAGCGCTCCTACGAACAATTTACGTATATAAAATGTTGGGCACTGACAATGTCAAACTCAGCAATGGCATTGCTGCTGTAATTAACTGATTGACCGTCCAGCTGGAAAGTTAGTCTCAATTATTGCGTCTTGCTTAGTTATCACTGCTATTCTAGATTCAGGGCATAAATCGATCGGCAAGGACATCAGCCGGTAGCGGCTTTACCGAGACTTGGAAGTCGCGTGGAAATCTTTGAAAATTACGGAGGGATTCCTTGCATATCGCTAAGATCTCACTGCCTGCTCTTCGGCGGGTTAAATACAGGTAATGACCTTCTGGCCTCGTCTATATTGTCCCCATAACGACTTCTTTATCACGGTTTATGGAGCCCTAGCCAAATTATAACAACATTAAGGAGAGCGTTGAGTAGATACTTTAAGCTTTAACAGGTGGAGAAGGTAAGCAACACAATTCCGTTATTTACAGCGACTTTTGCGTTATTCATGTTTTCTAGTCTAATCTACCGTTCTTAACAATATGCTGATTCCCGATCTTAATGTGACATGAAACCTTTTCCCAGAGTTCCTCAGACATCGCTGCCCCCACTCCATGTGTATGTAACACCGCCAATCCCAATTTTTCCGCGCACCGCATTTCGTAGCAACGTAGGCGGCAGACTATGTGGCGGATTCTGCACCACACATTGTTTTCCCCTCGCGGCGGTACCTTAATTACTACGTGCGCTCGGGATCCAACAGAACACAGTTATCCCTGTACAAAATAACTATTTTGAAGACCAACGCTAAGACAGTGCGAGAGGTGTACATGGCGAGGAAAGAGAAAATATCTGAGGAAATGGCAAAGTAGGACACCTTTCAGATCCCTTTCTTCATTGCACCTCTCAAAGACACTGTGTCTTATGTTTCATATTCAAGAACTTTATAGAAGCGGAGTAATCTAGCTCCGAAAAATAGATGTGCTCTGCATAAAAATGTTAATTCGGTCACAAACAAAACTTATAATTAGCATTTTGCTAATTATTGATAATAATATTGTACACTTTGCTTTAAGTAATAATAATAATAATAATAATAATAATAAATATATGAAATATATGGCAATCTTTTTACCCACTTTACCGAAATCTTGCAATGGATTTATTCCGATTTGGATAGCTTAATAGCTTTTCCTTGAAGTGAGGTCAGCTGCAGTTGAGAGATCGGGCTAATGAGCGTCGCTTCGCACCTCGCTAATCGGGCTTAATGAGGTTATCTGTCGCACTCGTAATTAGCTCGACGATCACAGGTGGCGCTAAACTCGTTAACGCACGGCGTGCGATCGTACACATTTCTTATCCTACCCCTTCTTGGCGAGTGCTCACTCCGGCTGATGAACACCTCCTGGGTTACGTCTATGTACCCTCGCTCAGGGACCGGCACTTCACATACGTCCGATTGCAGGATGTGCTCTGAAAGAAATAAGCGAGTTAGTTTGGTGGACCAGCATTCTGTAGCTTTCTCAAAAAAAGCAGAAAAACGATTGGGATGATATTTTTGTCGAACCGCTGAAAACAGGTGTACAAAGGTTCTTGCAGCCGTGGGATCCCGCTCTCCGTGAACATTTGCTGAGCTGGATCAATCCTGGTTTCCTTCATGATCTTTGCCACGAGCTGAAGGTGAGCATAGCTTTTGAATATTAAAGATTCAATGTTTGAAGAAGAAGATGATCAGAGATATTCACGAATGGAAACCGTCTTTAAATCTATTTCTTTTTGCAGATTCTCTTCCGCTACAAACACATCAACAGTCGCTATCTGGTTTTCAGTCAAATGCGTGTGGTAAGAGGACAGGTTCGTTGCTTCGAATTCTAGTGATATCACTCACGTTGTATTGGATCGAAAAGTGGCATATAGACGTTTTTCTAGGTTTGGAATTTGTATGACTGTCTCGCAAAGAATGAAACTCCTGCTGGTTTAATTACAAAGGAGCCGATTCTTGTTACCAGAAGGTGATACTTATCCTTTCAGCTGATAGAAAACAGCAATGTCACACTTCGAGTGTCAAAGGTTAGAGCATTCCCAAATACCCTCAACTCAGTGAGCCTGAAGACGTTTACGCCAATTTCTCCACTTAAAAATCTATAGGAACGGGGCTGTAGGGTAATGGCACCCGAGTGCCGTCTCCATATTCGCCCTCGCTGTCGTCAAGGTGCAGCATTTGCTCGGATAACGAGGTACTGCAGGAAACATACACCTAAGCATAGAGAACAACCTGAAGTGAGAGCGTTCAAGACAAGTAGTACGTTTGGCTACGGCTGGAAAAGTACCTGGCCGTGCAGCAGCAGGGGCGAAGTATGGAGACGTCACTTGGGCACCACTACTCTCAAGCCCTGTTCCCGTGTCCTTTTGGTCGCACAAAGCGACACGCTACGTCAGCTGCGGACTCAACCACCTCACACATGGCAAGGACCAGGATCCAGCGAGGTGAGTGTGATAAATTTTCTTCAAGGTGTAGGAGTGGCGACTGACTGGTTTCTGGTCTGAGCGACTCAAGATACTCTGAGGCATCATTCCTTTCCTGATCATATGATTGGAAACAACAAC